AATTGAATTCTTTATTGTTTCAAATCATTTACATTATGAGAGTACATCTTGCTCAATTAGCTGGCTTGTTTCTGCTGGTGACTTGGGGCAAATCTCAATACCTGAAAAAGAATGAAAAAAATATAAGTAAATTCAAATTATCTCAGAGTTCAACTCAAACATTTTCTGGTCCATCTGTATCACTGTGACGCCAGCTCATCGAATGAACTTTCTATGTTACAGGTGGTCAGCATCAAGTCCAGGCACATCCCTTTGGACAAGAAGGAGCATCACTTTCTATTTTGCTACGACTGTACCATACAAATGAAATAAATAGCAGCATAACTGTAACTGAAACTCTCATGATTTGCCTTCTCTCACTTCCCTCCACTAAAATCAACACAACTACATATTTTAGAATCAAATGGAGGTAGCATAGAGACAGTATAGATATGACAAGTAAACCGCCCAATAGAAACTAATACCAAAATAAACATTTCCCCAACATGACTCTACCATAATGTATTGACATTTTTTTGTTAGCATCACATAGAAAGTCAAAACTTACCAGATTCATTCCTGCGATCATGATAAAAAGGGGCCGTTTCTCAGTCATGCTGTGTGCTGTGACGCCAACTCAGCATACATTGGGTGACAGCTAACGGCTGCTTAGCTGATGTCAAGCGCAGACGCAACTATTGGACGGTCTTCCTGCAACAAGGGTAAAAACACAATTTCAGTCTACATATATCATGGTGACACGAACTCCTCTCCCTCTCTGGACTCGGTACAGTTTCAGGTAGCTGCAAACTATAACGTACCATGCTTCAAAAGCATTGCTTAGGACAAACAATGTCAACTCAACGTCAAATGTTCACAAGTGGAATATTATAAATATTCATGAACTTTTAACTCTGTTTCCAAATTATTTCTTTACATCCAGGACTATAAAGAGGAAAAGAGCATTCAGTTGGCATGGACTAGAATATTTCTGCCTGTCTTTGAGCAGAAAATAGTACAAAATCAAAGAAGAGATAAAAGAAAAATATGAAACTAAACATATCATAATAATTACTAATTGTAAGATTTCATGAAAAGAAATAAAGTAAAACTTAGCAAAATTGTAAGTCCTCGATTGTCTCTTCCAGTCCTGCGTCATGGTGTCCTCCACTCCCTATCGCAATCATTAGTGCAGCAGAAAGGTTTAAGACATTGGGGACCTCAGAGACTTCAAAATTTACTTCTGCTAACTCACTAAATGTGAACAAAAAAATAAGAATCCCACTTTAAAACTCAAAAATTTCGGGTACTGTATCTGAGATTTAAGCAGTAATTTCCTAAGGACAGAAAATGAACAAACTGGTGCTCTTTTCTATTTTAAAACCATCCTATCACATTACTTATCAAGTATAATTATCTCCCTCTGTACTTCTGCATCTCTATCACAAAGAGAGTCATGAACTAGAGCTCTGGGGATGACAGAATAAGGGGGAGGGCTTAAAATTACTCTCCATGGCCTTAGTTACATTCACTGCATCAACTTTAAAACAATCAATTTTTCACTTCAGGCCGTTTGAGGCTTACATTACTTGTTCTTTACCGGCCCACTTCACGTTCTTGGTGGTAGGAAGAACGAGTATTGTTCTCAGTGCGGTGTCACCATTTAATTGTTTGTACTTTCATCTAAGAACACATTACACCAACAGACATGATCATGATAGTACGATTGTAGAGCGTAGACACTGGTCGTAATAACGCAATGATTATTTTTTTTCAGGTTTAATGGTATAATTTTGAGCACTTTTACATATTTTGCAAGTTTTCATTCTCTATAGATCCAATATCTTTGGTTAAATACCAAATATCAACAGCCTGATAAAAGTGAAACAGAAGATATTCTCGAAATGCATTCAAATTTGCCTTAGATAAATGTCAAAAAAGTTTGGTTTATAGTAAGTAAGTATATGAGGTTATGTAAGTTTGTGAATGAGACTTGGCTTATCACATTTGCGTTCTTCCGCATCTACGCATAGACATAGAGCTGTCTCTATGACACTATATTGACCACTAGAACTTGACGAACTGGAACAAAAATAAAATAACAACAGCAGTTTCTTACCTCAGCGAAGTCACGCACGAACAGCCGAAAGCCATCCTTCCGCAAACAACAACAACAATGCTGACTGCACGTGCGCGTAGTAGTCTCGTTGCAGGGTGCGAGCAGGGGCCGTCGCCGCCAAGGCGCTGAGGGTAGGCCACCATCTCTACAGAGACGCTTGGCGGGCGGGCCTATGCTATTGCAATACCATGATCGTGTCATCGCTAGCTGCGCCACGGTTTGAGTTTTTCTCGCGCAGTTACTACCCCCCTCCCCCGGCCCTCCGAATCCACCTCGAAGGCGCTTAAGTATACACAACCCCCACCCCCACCGTTAGCCGGACCTAAATCAGAGCCTAGCTGAAAATATGGAAGAGGGAAACATCCCAGGGACGTGAGAATGCAGGTGAAGAACGAGTAAAAACTGTTTACTTTTGTTTACTAATCACAGACTTTACTTGACAACCAGCATACAAAAATGGTTTACCAATAGTATAGAACCTAGTAGAGCAGGGCACATTCGGCACCACTAGGTGAGGAACAAAACTTAACAATTCTGTGACACATTCCATTCACAACTGGCACATTACATACAGTATAAGAGAATTGTCACACACACACGCGCACAACGCAGGGAATATCTGACATTCTTGTGGAAGCCACTGGAAGAGCTCCACTGTTGTAACTGCTGCAAACTGTTCTTCGCACCATACTTGCCCCTGAACATGCTGAAGTAGGGTTGCCAGGCAATCGTAGAAAGAAGTTATCCCTCCCTCAAACTATTTAGTCCAAAAGACTTTGCCTCAGGACTATTACAGGAGGCCTAATATAGGAACTTGAATGAGAAAATTTACTGAGTTGCCTGGTAATTATTCAAAAGTTTACTCCCACTCTCTCCTTGTTGCGGTAACTAGTATATCAAACAACATAGTGGTTCAACATTAATATTCATCGTATACAGAAAAAAGACTCCTTCCAAATAAATATAAGAAATAGGATAGAAGATATTATCTAATAAAACAATAAATTTACAAGTAAACCGCCCAATAGAAACTAATACCAAAATAAACATTTCCCCAACATGACTCTACCATAATGTATTGACATTTTTTTGTTAGCATCACATAGAAAGTCAAAACTTACCAGATTCATTCCTGCGATCATGATAAAAAGGGGCCGTTTCTCAGTCATGCTGTGTGCTGTGACGCCAACTCAGCATACATTGGGTGACAGCTAACGGCTGCTTAGCTGATGTCAAGCGCAGACGCAACTATTGGACGGTCTTCCTGCAACAAGGGTAAAAACACAATTTCAGTCTACATATATCATGGTGACACGAACTCCTCTCCCTCTCTGGACTCGGTACAGTTTCAGGTAGCTGCAAACTATAACGTACCATGCTTCAAAAGCATTGCTTAGGACAAACAATGTCAACTCAACGTCAAATGTTCACAAGTGGAATATTATAAATATTCATGAACTTTTAACTCTGTTTCCAAATTATTTCTTTACATCCAGGACTATAAAGAGGAAAAGAGCATTCAGTTGGCATGGACTAGAATATTTCTGCCTGTCTTTGAGCAGAAAATAGTACAAAATCAAAGAAGAGATAAAAGAAAAATATGAAACTAAACATATCATAATAATTACTAATTGTAAGATTTCATGAAAAGAAATAAAGTAAAACTTAGCAAAATTGTAAGTCCTCGATTGTCTCTTCCAGTCCTGCGTCATGGTGTCCTCCACTCCCTATCGCAATCATTAGTGCAGCAGAAAGGTTTAAGACATTGGGGACCTCAGAGACTTCAAAATTTACTTCTGCTAACTCACTAAATGTGAACAAAAAAATAAGAATCCCACTTTAAAACTCAAAAATTTCGGGTACTGTATCTGAGATTTAAGCAGTAATTTCCTAAGGACAGAAAATGAACAAACTGGTGCTCTTTTCTATTTTAAAACCATCCTATCACATTACTTATCAAGTATAATTATCTCCCTCTGTACTTCTGCATCTCTATCACAAAGAGAGTCATGAACTAGAGCTCTGGGGATGACAGAATAAGGGGGAGGGCTTAAAATTACTCTCCATGGCCTTAGTTACATTCACTGCATCAACTTTAAAACAATCAATTTTTCACTTCAGGCCGTTTGAGGCTTACATTACTTGTTCTTTACCGGCCCACTTCACGTTCTTGGTGGTAGGAAGAACGAGTATTGTTCTCAGTGCGGTGTCACCATTTAATTGTTTGTACTTTCATCTAAGAACACATTACACCAACAGACATGATCATGATAGTACGATTGTAGAGCGTAGACACTGGTCGTAATAACGCAATGATTATTTTTTTTCAGGTTTAATGGTATAATTTTGAGCACTTTTACATATTTTGCAAGTTTTCATTCTCTATAGATCCAATATCTTTGGTTAAATACCAAATATCAACAGCCTGATAAAAGTGAAACAGAAGATATTCTCGAAATGCATTCAAATTTGCCTTAGATAAATGTCAAAAAAGTTTGGTTTATAGTAAGTAAGTATATGAGGTTATGTAAGTTTGTGAATGAGACTTGGCTTATCACATTTGCGTTCTTCCGCATCTACGCATAGACATAGAGCTGTCTCTATGACACTATATTGACCACTAGAACTTGACGAACTGGAACAAAAATAAAATAACAACAGCAGTTTCTTACCTCAGCGAAGTCACGCACGAACAGCCGAAAGCCATCCTTCCGCAAACAACAACAACAATGCTGACTGCACGTGCGCGTAGTAGTCTCGTTGCAGGGTGCGAGCAGGGGCCGTCGCCGCCAAGGCGCTGAGGGTAGGCCACCATCTCTACAGAGACGCTTGGCGGGCGGGCCTATGCTATTGCAATACCATGATCGTGTCATCGCTAGCTGCGCCACGGTTTGAGTTTTTCTCGCGCAGTTACTACCCCCCTCCCCCGGCCCTCCGAATCCACCTCGAAGGCGCTTAAGTATACACAACCCCCACCCCCACCGTTAGCCGGACCTAAATCAGAGCCTAGCTGAAAATATGGAAGAGGGAAACATCCCAGGGACGTGAGAATGCAGGTGAAGAACGAGTAAAAACTGTTTACTTTTGTTTACTAATCACAGACTTTACTTGACAACCAGCATACAAAAATGGTTTACCAATAGTATAGAACCTAGTAGAGCAGGGCACATTCGGCACCACTAGGTGAGGAACAAAACTTAACAATTCTGTGACACATTCCATTCACAACTGGCACATTACATACAGTATAAGAGAATTGTCACACACACACGCGCACAACGCAGGGAATATCTGACATTCTTGTGGAAGCCACTGGAAGAGCTCCACTGTTGTAACTGCTGCAAACTGTTCTTCGCACCATACTTGCCCCTGAACATGCTGAAGTAGGGTTGCCAGGCAATCGTAGAAAGAAGTTATCCCTCCCTCAAACTATTTAGTCCAAAAGACTTTGCCTCAGGACTATTACAGGAGGCCTAATATAGGAACTTGAATGAGAAAATTTACTGAGTTGCCTGGTAATTATTCAAAAGTTTACTCCCACTCTCTCCTTGTTGCGGTAACTAGTATATCAAACAACATAGTGGTTCAACATTAATATTCATCGTATACAGAAAAAAGACTCCTTCCAAATAAATATAAGAAATAGGATAGAAGATATTATCTAATAAAACAATAAATTTTGACAATTTTAATATTAACATTTTTAAGGAATATAACTTATAAGAGATGCACAAAATTGATAGAAGCTTTCATTATTTCAATGTTTTGGATATGAAAAGAATAATCTCAATAAGAGAGAATTATTTGTGGTTTCTTTCCAATTGGCTCAACAACTGACAACAAAAATTTGTAGTCAGATAGTATCACAGATTACATGGTTCAAAAATGCCTAGTTTGATTTCATAGTTTAAGGAAAAATAAAAATGTTGGCTATCGCAGGGATTAAAAGACCTAAAATATTACAGTCAAATTCATCCCAGAGAGGAAACAGCTGGATTTCTGATTGTGAAGCTTTGCGAGGTGTAAAAGTTTATAACAATGGCAGCTACATCACCTGTGGAAAACAAAAGTCAGGTGATATGCGATGACAGAGTCAATCAGTAAATTCAAGTGGCCGGTAAATTCAAGTTAATTCAAGTTACCTGTAGCATCATGCTCCCTTCGTAGGCCGTCCCGGGGAGCAGCATGACGGGCGCGGACACCTGGCCCGGCTCCACGCACAGCATGCTCCGGTACTCCTCCGCGCCCAGGTCCGCCAGGCGCTGGACGTCCTGCGACCACGGGTTCCACAGCACTGCGGACACGAGAGGGCAAATGGGTTACAGAACAACGAGATCACAAGGGTCGCCGTCGTCATGCCCGAAGGTGGCTGACTCGCGCCGCGCACTTTCGTACTTACACGCACGCGAGCGGGAGGGTTTGCCTATCTTCGGCCCCGTGCGAGTAGGCAACCCGCCCGCACGCGTGTATGCGGTAGTGTAAGTACGAAAGTGCGCGGCGCGAGTCAGACACCAGGTATCAAAGTATCCCAGTTATACTGACCGGTGTCTGCCAGGTTGTACTTGAGGACGCGCATCTTGCGGCCCGAGACGACGTTGGTGACGATGTGCTCCGGCGGCGTGTTCCTGTACACCCGGTCGGTCCACTCCGTCACCTGGACGCCCTCGCTGGCCTCCTGGTACACGGCGTGCTCTCTCGTCTGGAAGGGAGGTGCAATATGCGTTTTGAAAAACCATTTCTGGCTGGGCGAAGGGCTCGCCAACCCTTCAACCCAGTGAGGAATTCATATCGAAGCTACATCGTTTCGACGTCGATTTCGCACACATTTCGCCATGCTTTCGACATCATTGCGGTGTCGATTCAACTGACTCTTTCTCACTGCGGGCATGACGTTGACCACGACGGTTCTACTCACCGTATCCGTGAAGGTGCAGCCGCGTAGCCCGGTGACCTGGCAGCGGGTCACGTCGGGCACCTTGAGGTACGTGTGCAGCAGCAGCTGGAAGCACAGCTCGCGGTCGCGGCTCGGGTTCACCACCTGCACGTGGCAGTGCAGCTCCTTCTCGCGGAGGATCAGCCGGTATGTGACGCGGAACCTGAGTAACCAAACCGGAAGGACCGGAGTTAGACCGGAAGCTGACGGAGACTGACCCCACAAAAACAACGACGAGAAACAACTAGGGATTTTAATTTTCCGAAAATTATTTCTGGATTTTTTTTTGAAACCTCTTATTTTTTCCCGAATA